GGGGGGGGGGGGGGGAGTGTGGCAGAAGGAGGAAGTGGACAAGCAAAGAAAAAAACAGAAATCTGGGGCCAAAACCAAACTACCTTAAATGCTAAGGCTGTTTTCTCATTCGCTAGTTCAGACAAGCATCAAATGTGGCAGAAATAAGACTCTTATAAGAACACTGGTCTTACATTATTAATACATTAATCCTCACAGTTCCTACCTGGAACAAGGAAAAATACATGATTTAGGAACTTCCAAGGTAAGTCCCTAAACTAATTTTGGTAACCATAAATCAAGAGAGAAAAAGGTTATCTATCAAGAGCAACAACGAATCTTCCCATCAAATTCTCCATGATCTGCAATGATCATTCTAAAAATTCATTCACTAATGTGTTAAATCAATGAATAAGCAGGTAATCCCCTAGTATGTGTCAGCATTGTTCTAGGCCAGTGGTTCTCAACCTTCCTAATGCCGCGACCCTTTAATACAGTTCCTCATGTTGTGGTGACCCCCAACTTCATTGTTACAAATGGAACATAATTAAAGCCTGGTGATTCATCATAAAAACAATATGTAATTATAGATGTGTTTTCCGATGGTCTTAGGCGACCACTGAGCTTCCAGGGCGGGGAGGAAACAAAACAAAGCAGTGAGTAGAGAAGGATAGAGTGAAGAGGCAGAGCTTCCCGTGACAGTCAGAGAAAGTCTGAACAAAGACCTAAAGGAAATGAGAAAGCAAACCCCACAGATTTCTGGGAGAGGGGAGTGTGCCTCGCACAATCACAAAACATCAAGAGGTAGAGTACCTGAAACAGAATAAGCAGGGAGGAGCGTAGTGGCAAGTGAAGTTAGAGAGGTAAGGGAGGGAAGGCACAGATCAATGTAGGGGATTGCCTGATTATTCATTGATTTCACACATTAATGAATGAATGTGGGGAACATCTGGCTGGAGGGCGGATAAGGCCCACGAAATGATTTGGTCTGGCCCTGCCAAGGCATTAGTTAATTAAATATTCGTTAATTAAATATTTGACCAAATATAGCAGGCTAATTTTTAAGTTGGTAATTTTGTATGGCCCGTGAATGATGCTATAAATATCCAAATGGCCCTTGGCAGAAAAAAGGTTCCCCACCCCTGATATAGGGCCTTAAAGCTAAGGTGACCACATTCCTGGTTTGCCCAAGATAGTTTCAGTTTATGCCTGTTGCTTTGACATTACTACTAACAGCACCATCTTTCATGCTCAAAAGCGTCCTGATTTCAACCATAAATTTTATGGTCACCCTATAAATAGGTGACTATAAAAACGTTTACTCTGAGATGGGGAACCACTGGAGGGTTGTGAGCAGGTTTCAAAGGATCATCCTGGCTATTTTTTGGAGGAAAAAACTGAAGAGGGAAAGGGCAGTAGTAGAGATACCAGTTAGCAGACTACTGAGGTAACATGGGCGAAGGAGTAACCCTTGATGGGAATATTGAAAAGTGGTCAGATTCTGAAGTCAAAGATGACAGGCTTGCTGTTGAACTGTGCTGTGGGCTAGAAAAGAGAGGAGCCAGGAATTATTCCAGTATTTTTGGCCGAAGCAACAATAGGAAGAATCGCGATACTATTTAGTGAGATAGGAAAGGTTTGGAGAGATTGAGTGGAAGCAGTTTGGTTCTGGTCGTGGTACACTGAAATGCCTGTTAAGTATTTACACGTAGGCATCTGGATATAGAGTCTGGAGATCTATGCTAGAGATATAAGTGTGGGAATCATAATCATATAAAGTGTATGGGACTAAAACAAACGACATACTTATTCTACAGCCATAAACAGATGTTCCTCTCTTCATAACTAAGTCCTAAAATAGCAAGAACACCACAATAATTCGAAGAATTTCTACAAATCCCTATGGGAAAACAAATTACACAACCACTCAGAGCAGCAGTTTTTAACACTTCTCCATAGCTATACACAGGACACGTAACCTTCACATATACGAGTATGAAATTTTCTCCTGGATACGCTTGGATTTTTATGAAATCCAACAATAAGTGGTGCAAAGAAGTATATTACTACAAGAATCCCTATTCCTGACATCTTCTTAAGTTTCTCATTAGAAAGGGGCAGACTTTTTTCTGTCCCATTCAATAAAGTAGAGTATGTTAGAATTGAGTGAGAATGATGTTTTACAGGAATAAGAAGAACCTTTCCAAATTCTTTTAGTCATATGCAAATATTTTAAGTCTCTAGTAACAAATTACTATGACACTTTAGAGCCTAATATCTATATACTAGTTATTTTCATTGAAAACACTGATCTGCCTAGCAACAGATAAAAGATAAAAACGAATACAGATTAAAAACTCATGATTCTTCACTTTTTCTGAACCTGGAATAAAACACGCAAAATAGTAAAGTATATACACCGCCAAATTTTATAGCGCCTTTTCTCCGCACACTGAAAATCATTGCAGTGTTTTCTGACCCTATTCTGAAGGGCTTACACCCTCATGTCCCAAGGTAATTCTTGGGTAACTTGGTGATTTATAAATTCCCTTCACACACCAAGAAACTGCAACAGCAGACCAGTTCCCAAAAACCTTTTCCTTACACCAAATGCGTTAAGGTTTCCAATGTTCTAGAAAAAAAAAAAAACACTTTGGGATCCAAATGATGGCGTTATTTTATACACAATCCATCTCCCGAGTTCCAGCTCAGTCAGAAGCAATTACAACCCACATCTAAAATGGACCGTGAAGATGCTGTAAAACACATCTCCCACCTTTGAGATTTTTTTTTAAAAAGCTCGCTGATGTATTCCTCATCCCTGATGTTAGGCTCTGGGCTAAAAAAGCTGCCAGCCAAGAAATCAATACAGTTCCGTTGGCAACCTGAGCAAAAAAATCCCAAAGGTGAGGTTTTCCCTGCCAGCCTAGCAACATGCATAATTAACAAGTCTCGGGCGCCGCTGCTCCAGAAAGACCCCAAATGCGAGGCTTCTCTCCTCCGCCTCCGCCAAGCCCGGGAGTTCCGACATCTAGAGTC